CGTAGTGCTATTTTATAGGTATATTCTGTGCCGCTAAATACTTTTTATTAAATCAATTCGCCAATATGTATACGCACAAAAACAATATAATTAGACTAGACTAATTTTTTTTAATGAATGTAGCAGCATATCTTTAGATTTTTCTATGTTTTTTGTCAAATCACAGTGGTCCCAATTATATAACAAAAACATGTAACGTTTTTATTGATATCTCAAAAATATTCAACTGCGTAAAATATGATATTCTGTTAAATAAATTAGAAGACTTAGAAATAAGAAGACTAGCACTTACATTAATAGAGAATTATTTAAATAATAGAATGCAAGCAACTGTTATCGAGATATATAATGAATCTACAGAAACGGTTGAGGTAATTAAATCTGAATTTGAAAATGTATAACGGGGTGTATCCCAAGGCAGCATATTAGGACCCTCTTTATTCCTACTATATATTAACGAACTTCCAAACATAATTGCGTAATGTACTCACCTATGCGTAATGTATGCCGATAATGCAAGTATATTTATTTCTAATGATGACTGAAATGATTTTGATTATGAAAATGAAATAAACAAATATTGATAACAGTTACTGATTGGCTGCAGTCAATAAACCTGAAAGTAAACCTGTCAAAAACGAAACACGTACAATTTAGAAATTACAAAAGTATACCTGCCAAACTAAATATAACCGTCGCTGATATAGCGGTTGAAGAAGTAAAGAACATAAATTTTCTAGGAATCGAAATAGATCAACGTCTAAAATGGAAGGCACATATTGAAAAAGTAAATAAAATATATCCAGTGCATATTACGCATTGTCCATCCTTGCAGAGACTACAAATGTAAGTAGGGGGAAGTGGGGCAGATTGATGCATAAAAATTTAAAGTCACTTTTAAGTGCTTAAATAACGTTAAAATTTATATTTGTTATGTTTTCTGCATTGCTACGTCTATAAATATAATAAAAGTAATGAAAAGAAACTGTCTAATTAATGCATAAAAAAAATATAAAGCTTTTAGTAAAAAAAGAGAATTGTATCATTGTGCCCCACCTACGGGGCACTTAGATACACTGCATGGGGCACTTTGATACAAACTAAAAGTTGTATGGAAATATTATTAATTTGAAACTCTAATATGCTAATAATACTTTTATTGTTCAGAGATCACAATCAGTCTTACATTTATACGAATAAAGTACATTTCTTATTCTAACACGTCATCTTAACCATATTATATCTTTTTCATAGAAACTTTCTATAATTAAACAGAAAAATACTTTTTGTTTTCTTTTGATATATATCAATCTAAATAAAAAAAACACCAAATGTAACAACAACAACAACAACACATTTTAAATTTCTCTACTGCACCTTATAGGCACTTAAATTAACTGAAAAAGTATAGTGAGATGATGTTCAACATGTGCCTTTTGTAAAATTTGGTTCAGGCAGATGTAAAACTACATCTCGGAAATCAACGCTAGCTTGGTCTTCTATATTCGGAAAAACAAAAGCGCATGATCCTGGTTTCTTTCTGAGGTAGGACACTTGGTATTCGGTCGAATTGTATTTGAACAAGACTTTGGTCACGTAATAGTCTGTAGATGTCTTCTTATCAAATTTAATATGCAAGAAATCTCTAATGTTTATATTTTCGGGATCGGGGGCATAACTATGTTCTTTAACTTCCTCATCAAGTAGCTCATCCAGATCATTGACTCAGTCATTACATAATTTCATCGACTCATTCAGACTGGATTTAGAATCGGACTGCGATTGTAAACAGACTTTTTTCCTTCTAGATTTCTTCGTTTCCGTTAGTCCCATTAATTTTTTTACAGTTTTCAAAGCTTTGGCTTTCTCCATCATTTTCAGTTGTCGAATTCGTTCTTTTTTATCTTGTAATATCTCCAATCTTTTCTTTACCGGCGTTTCAGTATAAACCCTAGATTTCCCCTTTTTTTCCTTTTCTAGACATAAGACATAAAGACATAAATATTCTTCATATTTTTGGGTATGGGCTTACAGCTTCAAGGGACAAACAGTCGCAGAAGTCGGTGGAAAAACATTTGGAGATGGATTAACGCTGGAAGATGATGAAGCAAGGCTTAGAGGTGCAGCAAGGTCCAACTGGTGATTGAGAGAATCGACTCAATTAGCTAAAATCTCGTCTCCTGCACAGATTTCATTAACTCTATCTTGACTTGTCTCGATCGCCGTTTAAAAAATGGTCTTTGAAATGGACATACACATACAGGACATACAGAAGGAACAGCAACACATGTTGCTGTTACTATTCCGCAAAATGTAACTAGCTCTTCCCTTTTGGCAGACACCATTTGTCCTATTTGCCTCTGTCTTTTCAGTCAGAACTTTAGGTGTAGATAAAACAGTAGTTACTCAGTTTCGTCAAGGTTGGTGATCCGATCAGGAGCAAAATTTTTACCTATATATAATAATAAATAGTAATAAAATTTTATATTGGGGCAGAATGATACGCATCAAAGTGCCCCACAGTTTACCGTATCATTGAGCCCCAACAGAAGTTTTTGTAAAACTTTAACATCATATTTATTTATGTTGATTTATTGAGCTAAAAGCATTAAACTCCTATTTATGGATGGAATAACTTACCTTTAGTAAGTATAAATACTTCAAAGAAATTGTAGAATTTGAGTGAATCTCTTTTATATTCCACGTGTGTTTTTAGTTGGGCGAACACAAAACACAAACTATGTCGTCTAACGCCATCGGCTAACTGGATGACGGCGTGGCCACAAGTGCTGCGCTAAGGCAGGCATAGAAAAGTTATAATGTTGTCACGACTCGATTACATCTAACCGATTATGATATATGTTAGGTGAATCAATCTGCCCCTTGCATCAATCTGCCCCGCCTCCCCCTACCTATAGTAATGCCTATTTTGGAAGCGTTTATCCACTCTTAACTTACGGTATCATATACTGGGGAAACTCAACAGATATGCAGTCAACATACTTTCTCCAGAAAAAATGGGAATAATATAGGTAAAACATTTTTTTTTAAATATAATAGGGTGATAAACGAGCACACAGTCCACCTGATGGTAAGTGGTTTCTGTGGCCCATAGACATCCACATTCATCCTCGTTTTCGAATCAAAATGCAGATGCGTTGTCACTCGTGAGGACTAAGATGGAATGCCTCTTTTCCAGTAAAAAGGGTCTCCGGTTCTCTACACTCACCATACGAAACAGCAGTGTTAAGCTGCTATTTAAAGCTGGTATTCTGTGAGAGCGTGGTCCTTCCCCGCTCGAGCCGACCCATTCGTGCTACAACTATACTACTAATATAGCTGCAGCATGGCTCTACCACGTATGCGTAGTACCAAATATCGTTAAGAGATGTTTTCAGAACGAAGGGTTTCCTAACACTGACTGGAATATTTATCCTGGAATTATGTTTATTCGTAAAAAACTAGAGTAATTCATACATATAGATTCAAAGAAAAACATTCGCAAACAATATAAATATGATATCAACTTACCTATTATTAGAAATATGATTTATTACAAAAGTACCTATATTACTGCTATTCGAGTATACAACCAGTTACCACTAGCCATTAAACAATTAAATGGAAATATGTTCAAAACAAAATTAAAGAAATGGTTGGTGCATTTTTTTTGTATAAGTAATGTTAGTAGGTACCTAAGTAGTTAATTTTAAATTTATTTTCTTTCTTGTTGCATATCCGATATGGGTAGAATGTTGAGCCTAAAAGTATATTTTTTGTATTAAGTCCATATTGTACACAGTTACGCAATAAATGTATCTTTATCGGATATTAGTCTGTTTATATAATATATTATATCTCACAAGATGCGTGATATAGTAAATCATGGATATAGATAATATTTGATAACATTCTTAAGAAGCTATTACCTTATTAAATGTCGGATAAAATACTCTGCCCCTCAATTCGCAACTATCGGTATTACAAAAGCAAAACAATAAATTATTTTTGTATTCAAAGTCTACTGTCTAAACAATGCTGTATATTATCTAACATAGTATATGTAACATATCATTTTGACAAACATCACTTATTATTAGGGAGTGACATTATAGCAACGTTTACCTATTACTGTTTCCCGCGACTTCGCCCACGTGTAATTTAGGGTTTTGATTTTTTTGCGCGGACCTCTAATTCTTTTTTGCCGACTTCAAAAAGAAGGAGGTATCAACTCGACTGTATATTTTTTTTAAAATACTAGTAATGCTATTAAACATTACTAATATTCTCTTTAACCACTTCCGGTAAGCTTAAAATGCTTGTGTTAGAAGTGGTTCACGACAGTAGTCGAATGGCGGATTCGAACCCACGACCTTTCGAGTTCGCGGTGTGAGCCCTGCCATTAGGCTACTTCAGCATTACGATTCAAGAAATCTCTTGCGACACGGGACGTGGACGTGGACGTGGTGGCTTTCGTTTTCTGCTTAGCACTTCATCTGAGTACATAGGTACCCTCTTACCATCTCCGTCACCAAACAGCACAGATATTGTCATCCGGCTTGAAAGGGTGCATATTGGGAGCTAATCAAATTACAGGTTTCGAGGTAGTCCATTTTAGCAGACCGGAGTCAAGAAATTAGCGGTGTTTCACCGTCGTGCTTCGAAGAGCACGTGAAGCCGTTAGTCCTGCGCCTGATCTCTCTCCGATCGCGTTGTCCTCTCCGACCGAGTTCATCGGACTTTGAGGGTAAGGGAATAGACAGTGCATCCTGTGTTTGTGTCGTGCACTATAGTCCTGTTCTGCGCAGATGGCTAATTCCGAAATTCGGTCTTGTGTGCAATATTATTTTATTCCATATTTGATATAATTAATTTCTGAATTTTCGCAAAGTAAGGTGTATTAATAATTAATTAGAATATTAAAAAAATACAATTGAAAATACTTATTATTTATTGACTAATTTTAAGATGTACAGTACAACATGTAGGTAGCGTGCGCGTCACGTGTGCCCCGTGCGTGCGGGCGGTGGTGCTGCGGGGGGTGCGTGTTGCTCGGGGGGTGCGTGTTGCTCGGGGGGTGCGTGTTGCTCGGGGGGTGCGGGGGTCGCGGTGAAGTCGAGCAGCAGCTTGCCGCGCGCACTGTGCGTCGCCGCGTGCTCGTACGCCTGCGCGCCCGCCCACCACGGGAACACGCGCTCCACCTCCACCTTGAACTGAAACCCCACACCTCAGCTTCATAAGTTATCTTCATTTTACCGAAGAGCAACTTAAAAAACTTGAGCGACTCCAAAATTAAAATTATACGGTTCATATTTGGACTTGGTAAATATGTCTCAGAATACCGAAAGTAGAGAACCGGAGACCCGGTTCTCTACACTCAGGTTTTTACTGGAAAAGAGGCATTCCATCTTAGTCCTCACGGGTGACAATGCATCTGCATCTTGAGTTTTTATTGAGGATAGATGTAGATGTCTATGGGTCACAGTAACCACTTACCATCAGGTGGACTGTGTGCTCGTTTGTCACCATATTCAACATTTTCAACAGTGGTAGAGCCACGCGGCAGCTTTTGCTGTCGCACGCATGGGCCGGCTCGAACCGGGGTGGTACCACGACCTCACAGAATACCAGCAGAAGTAGAGGTTTACCTCTGCGTTTCGCTTGGTGAGTGCAGGTGGCCAGAGGCCCTTTTTACTGGAAATGAGGCATTCCATCTTAGTCCTCACGGGTGGCAACGCATCTGCATTTTGATTCGCAAACGAGGATAGATGTAGATGTCTATGGGCCGCAGCAACCACTTACCATCAGGTGGACTGTGTGCTCGTTTGTCACCCTTATCCAAAAAAAAATTCTATAAAAAAAATTTACAAAAACTATACAGCGGATAAAATGGAAGAAGCAATAAAGAAAATCACCAACGACGAATTGTCTATTAATGCTGCTTCACTTCTATATAAAATTCCGTATGGAACACTATATAATTAATATATAAGGATTACTCGGAAAAACGCCTGGTGGCCAACCTGTTTTCACGCATCAAGAGGAATTAGCAATTTTACGAGCTGCGGCTACATGTGGTGATTGGGGGTTTTCTCTTACATTATTTGACCTTCGAAAGTTCGCTAAGACTCATTTTTTGATTGTCAGGGCAAAATTATAGAATGGTTTTCAAATAACCTGCCTGGTGTCAAATGGGCCATAAGCACTCCTATGGTCCAAGCCGCAACTAATATGAAAAGGTACAGAGCGACTGTCGGCCGGGAGTCGTTAAATAAGTATTTCGACAACGGATTTTTGAGTTTTTTAATTTTATAAAACAGGTTTATATAATTATAAGACTGTTGTAATACTTTTAAGTGATAAAATTATAAATCTCGAAAGTGAATATTAAGACTGATTAATGTTAGGTTACTGTTACTTAATTTTCTTAAATAATAATAAAATATATTTGGTTGTTTACACTGTAATATACCCACATATCAAATTCACCCCGTGACTCAAAGTAAAAAGTTCAAAACGCAATATTTTCTAAACCATAGTTACTAAATTATTTTTTCTTATTGATTTTTTCATGTATCGGGGTCACTTTGCGATGAAATAAAATATAAGTGCCATATCAAAGTAGCTCCATTATCAATAAAACTTTGATAAGCAGGTTTTTACGAGTATGTGTTTTCTAAATAATTATTTCCAAATTTATATTTTTTGTTGTAATAATTAATTTGCGTGATAAATCTTCACTACAGTAATTTTTTTAACATTTTATCGTTCAAATTGCAAGCGTGGGATCCATTTGAAGTTTAAAATTAATCATTGCCCCGTTTTACTGTACCTCTAAGGACTGAGATGGAATGGAATTACAATTCTCATAAATACATTTCAGACGGGAACACGCCAGTATACGCACTGCATCTTGGATGTAGGCAGAAATATGTAAGAGGGTGGTATTTACCTAGATGGACTCTTAAGCAGAAAAGGAAATTTTTTGTGAGACGTATTTTAATTTAAACAATAATTCGCAGCAGTGCATCCTTGACTTCACAAACACAATCGAAATGTCGTTTGCAAATCCAACATTGTTTGAACATTAGAATACAGCTGTGGTACTACTTTCCTGTTTATTTCCATTTAATTAACATAATATCAAGTGGTTAAGGGGATATAACAGAACAATAGCGTATTGTTAATAATACGTTTACGTAACAAAATGCAAAAAAATATAAAAATAATTATATTTATTTTATCTCAGGCTAATATTATACACATTTTAACTACAAATTAAATAAATTACCGACTTTGTTATCTATCGTAAATGAAACCTTTTTTATTTAGCCTTGTGCTTGTAATGTAATTATGTATAATACGTATAAATATTATAAAATTTGCCGTGAGGTTATAGGGAATTCTACATAGGCATTCTGCCAAGTGTAACGATAAAGGCCTTACTACAACTAGAGACTTAAGAGTTAATGATGAGATTTTTTTTTAAATATTTTATACACCCATGGTCGCCTCTTACAGCACCCACGGGGCGATATGGGGTACTGATACGCTTTAACGTATTTTTATAAAATGCAACCCAAAGGTTATCAACAAATTTTAAGCCAGTTTCCCAAATAGTTGTTACCGCTACAAATATTCTGCCGGCATTGTCAAACTGTCTACAAAGCCTTGCAGACGAGGCCGCTACAGAGGTAGACGAATAGCGGAATAGCTATTTATACTCGTATAAGAAATTATTATGTATTTGCGTCATTTGCTGCAGCTATTGTTCCACATGATGGTGGAGGTTACAATATGAATTTTTTTCTCCCACAGTCGTGCGGGGAATCTTCGCGTTCAAGTAATAACACTAATATCGTAATTGGTAGCCACACGCTAATCAGTAATATCAATCTTGGTTGGATTTCACTTTACTTTTTCATCCTATTCTTTGCACGATCTTAAATCCTTCTCAATATTCATTCTATTCTTTGCGGGTTGTGAAATCCTTCGCAAATGTCATGTTGGTGAACAGGAATGAACTATTGCAAGCAAACATCTACGTGGTAGAGCCATGCTGCAGCTATATTATGGTTGTAGCACGAATGGGTCGGCTCGACCGGGGAAGGACCACGCTCTCACAGAAAACCAGCGTAAAATAGCAGCTTAACGCTGCTGTGTTTCGTATGGTGAGTGTAGAGAACCGGAGACCCTTTTTACTGGCAAAGAGGCATTCCATCTTAGTCCTCACGGGTGACAACGTATCTGCATCTTGAGTCTTTATTGAGGATAGATGTAGATGTCTATGGGTCACAGTAACCACTTACCATCAGGTGGACTGTGTGCTCGTTTGTCACCCGATCCTATAAAAAAAAACATAGACTAAGACAACTTTAAAAACTACGCACCAGTCTAACTTTTAGGAATTCGCCCACGAAACTCAAAAGTCTCGGGTCGAATCCGCCATTCCACTACTGTGGTAAACCATTCCTAGCACAAGCGCTTTAAGCTTACTTGAAGTAGTTCACGGGAGTATTAGTAATGTTAAGAGTAATATTTTACCCGACCGCTCGAAAAGGAGTGAGTATTGTATGTATGTCTATTTGGCAACGCTCTGTAGCCTAAACGGCTTCATTAATCATAATATGAGGTATCGTTAAGTTCTTCTTAGTTATGGAAGTGACATTAGGTACATTTTTTTTTCTTTCAGTAAACTTTTTTATCGGACTTGTCTTTACTAATTTTCGCTTCCCTGTAAAATTAGGCGAAAACGTGCTACCTTTTTGTTAATACTTGTGTTTTGGATTCGATTCATTTGTTTTGTTTTTAGCTCATATTTTCTATACAATAAGGGTGACAAACAAGCACACAGTCCACCTGATGATAAGTGGATGATGTAGCCCGTAGATATCTACATCTATCTTTGATTAAGAATCAAAATGCAGATGCGTTGTCAGCCCTAAAGACTAAGATGGGACGCCTCGTTTTCAGACATACATTACATATATTAATTACACATGGACAATGCAGACCCTTAAAAGTGTATGTATGGTCTACAAATAATTAAATAAAACATAAAGGAACATATTCATTTGAACTTGATACAGTCGTGAGAGAATCGAACCTGCGGACCGCGGTGTCGAGCGGCTTGAACTCCCTAACACAGAATATATAATAGTACTACCTCTAATGTAAGATGTAAGGAACCGGTGTAACGCAAACTACATTTGTAATACAAAACAAAACCATTTATAAATAATACTGTTAACTAGTTACAGTACCTGCCAACTTAATTGTAGATGACATGATATTAAAATTTAAGAAAACTTAATCTGTCAAGTACCAGAAGTCCACTATGTCACTTCCGGTTGACTCCTTTGGGAACGTTGTACACCTCTCAAAACAATTCTTATTTAAATGTTATTTATAAAAATTATACAACTAAAATTTTAAATATTTTATTAGGTGTTAGTCTCGTTACTAAATTACGCTTCTATAAATTAAGAGAGTACTTCAAATTACGGCTTTCCGCCATTACGCGGCGCGTTTACTTCTGTCCAGCTCCGTGACAGCTTAAAAACACGCACTAATCATGAGCTGCGATGATCCTAGAGAGAATTATCCTGGTGATCCTGATCAGGAAACTAGGATAAAGTTATGACATTATTGTATTATCATCGATCCTAGGTACGAGTGCAAGTCTTCAAGTCAATCGGTCGTTTACTACTTGGTGAAAATTACATCCTCAAAAAAAGTTTGTTATCACTAGCAAAATCGGATATATTTTTAAAATTTAACTTTATCAAAAAACTGTTTACGTTATATCTTTCTTTAAAGAGAAATACACTGTTTGGAATTAAAAAATATTTTATTTTTATTTTTTCATAGCAAAAATTAAGTAATTCAATCCTAACGTAATTGTAACACAAAGAGCAATGGCAGACTTTCATACATAAAATTAGTTCAGAAGAAATGGTAGCGTCTATATACCAAAAATATCTTAAAATGTTAAGCGTCAGTCCCTTAATAAATCTGTCAAAGAATTTCGTACTGGGAAGGCGTCAAAAAAAAAGATATTTACATTTGAACCTTTTTAGGTTATGTCCTATGTCACTTGGAAAAAGTCATGCTTCCTGTGGTTGTTTGATGTTAGCTTAATACATAATACATAATTGAGAGGTTTTAGATTATTGTATCTCTATTATATATTTGCATACTATAAATGTATATT